TAATGCGAAAAAATACTATCATACGTGTAGTGAACGAAGCCAAGTGGATGGGATGAATGCAATGGTAAGAAATTTTATAGTTATTTTTTTTAATAAAAAAAGTAAGCAATATTTAAATATAGCAAACAAAATCTTCAAAATTAAAAGCAAAATATAATGACACGTTTTTCAGTGTGAATTTTGAATTCAAAATTCGAAATAAAACTAAAATAGGCAAATACACTATATCCGCACATGTCAGAAAAAGAAAAAAGTAAAAAAAAAAAAAAAAAAAAAAAGGGGAACCAGGAAAGGGCCAGCAGCAGCGCAGCTGATTGCCTGCAGGCTGCCGTAGAGGATCCCTGGCTTATCCTTTCATCGTACTCCATGGTAATTATTTTAATTATTTTATGTCTGTTTTCTGCTTCTTAGTTATATTTATTTATTTATTTTTGTTGAATGAATGAATGAATGAATGAATTGGTGTGGTAGGAATTGGAGATCAGTGTTCAAACAAAGGAATGAAGCAGTTCACACAGGAGCTCAACGATTGGTCCAATTCTAAAGGATATTGCTTGTATGAATTTCTTTTTCTTTTTCTTTTTTTTTTTTATTATTGTTAAGAATTGTTTGAATAGTGTGTGGGGAAATTTTGGGTTTTCTTCATATCTGTATTTTGGGTTTGTCTGAAAGATTGTTTGGTAAGAAACTTACCGATTTCGTCTTTTTATTTAGTTTTATTTAAGTAAGAAGAGAAAAAACAGAGATGAAAAATGTAGTGTGGTTATGAATAGTTGTTTGTATCAATCTGATTTTTCGATATTTGTAATGTTTTATTACATCGCATTTCTAAAAATGTTTTAAGGGTGGATCAATGTTAGGTGCATTTTTCAATTCCTTTATTACACTCGAAACTTGTAACTTCTCGAACGACACGTTGTTAGGTTTTTGCTTCGGGATATGGTATAAATCTTTCTTAAATTTGGGTTTAATTCAAATCCTTGATTTTGATACTATTATAGTATTCGGAACAGTGTTTGGCAGAATTCTTGAAAATCGATTGATTATAAGTAATAACTTTCGTATTCGGATAGAAATTATTTGATCTTGAAAATACTAAATGATCATTGTATTGTAAGATATGAGCAATTATGCAACTCAATACTTACTTGAGCAATTATCCGTGTAACCTTCTTATACATTACTTTCACAATTTCGAGATTTTTTTTTTTTGTTTCTTTTCTAAGTACACTGAAATTTATGTGGCCACGGTTTTATAAGTATGAATTTACGATGTAAAAAATGATGTTTATTTATGTTTTCAAACCGTTTAGAGAAGTTGGAGATGGATCGTGGGATTCTTGGTTTAAGCCGCTTCAAGAACAGGTAATGTATACAACACCGCATAATATTTTTCCGGTTTCATATTTGATTATGTAACCTGATTTTGATTTGATTTTGCTTCCATTTTTACCTGCAGACAGAAATCGTATGTAATAAGGTACGTAAAGATCATGTTTGAAATACATTAGCTGTTAATTAACATGTTTTTACGCACTGACAATTTTGTACTAAACTTCAGGTGAAGCAAATGAAAGAACTACAGGAGGGTTACAACATTGTTGGTCTCTCTCAGGTTTCTCTCTCTCTCTCTCTCTCTCTCTCTCTCTCTCTCTCTCTCTCTCTCTCTCTGCACACACACACACACTTGAAAAGTTAAACGGGATATTTTATTTTCAGCTTATATAAGTTCTTGAGAAGTTAAATGGCATCAATCTTATAAAAATAATTACGTTGGTTGTTCATGCAGGGTAACTTGATAGGACGAGGTGTTATCGAGTTGTGTGAAGGTGGACCCCCAGTAAGGACCTAACATTTTTCCGAACCAATAATTTTTATTTTTATTTTATTTTATTTATTTCAGTATGTTCAAATTCATGTGTTACTATTTATGATGAACAAGTCTAAATCGTATATTTTACGACAGGTGAGGAATTTCGTTTCTTTAGGAGGACCGCATGCTGGTACTGCTTCAGTTCCTCTATGTGGTGTAAGTGTTACCGTTTTATTCGTACCCTTTTTCGAATTTCACCTACATTATTGGATAAAACACAATTATTATTTATTTTGCGATTTGTTTACTTATTATGCAAATTTACTGATCGCGAGCTCAATTAGTTATTTGCGTCATTACAAGATTGTAGTATGTGTTGGAACAAAAGATATTAAAAAAAAAAAAAAAAAAAAAAAGAAGTTAATTTTAGGCTCTTTGATTTGCTAATGAAATTGACGAGTATGTTTTTTGCAATGATTTGTTCCGACAGACTGGCATATTTTGCATCATAGCCGACAATTTGATCAAATCGGAGATTTACTCCGACTATATCCAAGTATTGCACTCCACTCCCTCTTTGTTTCTTTGATACTATCAAACAAATAGTATTACGTTTTTTTTCCAATTTCATTAGCTACTATATATATAATTTTGCAGGCTCATTTGGCTCCAAGTGGTTATCTTAAGATGCCTAATGTAAGTACTTCGACGTACTTTTTTTTGTTTGTTTTTTTTTCTTTTTTTGTGTGTGGTAAATACGACTAAATTATTATGAACTTCAAAACTCGAGTGCGCTTTTGCCTCAATTTTAAATATTTTATTGGAAAAGATTTGGGTTGACTTGGAAATCGTTAACCGCTAAATATCGCAATTCTTTTTTTTTTTTATTTTATTTTACAGGATATTGAGGGGTACCTAAGCAAATGTAGGTTTCTACCGAAGCTTAATAACGAACATGCCGACGAGAAAAATGCCACTTACAAAGAACGATTCACTAGCTTGCAAAATCTTGTCCTTATTATGGTATTTCAATCCTCCTCCGCTATATTGTTTTCCTTGTTTCCGTTTCTTTTTTTTTGGTTGGTTTTTGTAATAGATACATACTTTGTATCTAACTCTATTTCGCTGTGTGTGATGAGCAGTTTGAACACGATACCGTTTTAATACCAAAGGAGACTTCTTGGTTTGGATACTATCCTGATGGCGCCTTCAATCCTATTTTGCCACCTCAGCAGGTACTACTATTTTTGTTAATAAATTTATTATTATTTTTCTCTGTTAAATTGAAAATTCGTTGTATAAAATACACGACCCCAAATAGCAAAAAATTGGTTTCGTTGTATTTTCCCTTCAATGCACGTGCATGGTTCTTTTGTAATAAACACACTTTTTTTTTTGTTGTGCAGACGAAGCTTTATAAGGAAGATTGGATCGGTTTGAAAGAATTAACCGAAGCGGGAAGGGTAAAGTACATTAAGGTGGCGGGGAATCACCTCGGAATCTCCAAAGATGATATGAAGAAATATGTTGTTCCTTATTTAGAGGATGAAACATCCAAGAAACAAACTAGTTTTGTTGATGATGATGATGATGATGATGATGAACCACAAGCCGTTGGATCTTCTGTGGGGGTAATTTTCGACGAATCATCATCTTCTTACAAGTGGCCGTCGCCTGTCAAGAGCTTCTTCGGGGAGCTGCTTGGTCTTAAAAAAGATCATTAATCTTTCGGTTTTCGTCTTCGTGGTTTTGGTCCGCATATGAAAGCTGTAGAATTAAGTCTACTATATTAATTCTTAGCAGGAATTTATATTCTTCTGGTTGTACTCTTCAACCACTATACTGCTGTTGCTCGCCACTATTATGCTGTTAGCAATAATACATTTCAAAACTAATGTCTTCACATTTTTTTATGTTTGACCAAAAAATATAGGGGGGTATTTGGTACGTTTTGTAATTGAGGGGTGTGTTTGCGACACACCTCATAATTCATAAAAGAATAAATAAAGAAAAACAAAGAAAATAATAATCAGAAGGGTAGAAAAAATATGTGAAAAAGGGGTCAATTTTCTTTAGGGTTAATATTTAAGACACCCTCAAACCAAACATAATTAGATGTGAGGCACAACCTCAAATAAAATGTTTTAATTAAATCTCTATTTGATAATTAAATTTGTCCAATATCCTTTTATTTTTATTTAACCCAAAAATACCCTTCATATACCTAATAAAAAATTGCGTTTCTCTATATCTTCTTATTCTCTCTTTCTCCCACTCTTTTTTATCCGCGGTCCACTCTGGCGCGCTCTCTCTCTCTCCTTAACACCCCCCCCCCCCTAACACACCCCCCCCCCCCCCCCCTCTTTTTCTCTCTTTCTATAGTGGTGCTCTCTTTTACATTATTGGATATGTTGGATCTGGGATTGTCGGCGGCGGCGGCAGATTTTGCTGGCGAGAATGGCGGGCGGCATGAGGATGAGGCGGCGCGTGGAGAAGAGAAGACCCCGCCTCATTGTCGGATGAATCTAATGCGACGATGTTGGAGAGTGAATTTGGGTGTGCTCGAGATTTCTAGCAGAATTACCGCCATGGACATGATGACACCAAACTTCTACTGTTGCTCTTTTAATAAGTGGTTTTTATTTTAATATATATTTATCACTAATTTAGAGAGCTTGATATATTTATGGTGAGGGTGGTTACGGCGATATGGGAGGCGATGACTATGGCAGTGAGGGCGATGATGGCGGATCTAGGATTACGTAATGAAGAGGAAGATGATGAAAGGTTCGAAAATTATAAGATTTCGGAGATCCGTTTTTATAGGTGGAGTTGGTGGGGCGTCTAGGTTTTCCAAAAGGGAATAGGTGACTAAGGTTACAGCGGCTGCGACTGTTGGCTGCTAGGGTTTTGCGGCGACTGCATTTACTGCTAGGGTTGGCTACGGCTTAGAGTTGTATGCTGCTAGGGTTTGGAATAGTATACCGTAGTAAACCATATTGTACCATGGTACACTGTAGTACACTATAGTATACCATAGTCTACTACAGACTGTTGTGGTGTATATGAAAAGACAGAGAATGTGCGTTGAAGTGAAGTTCAAGTTTTAGAAACCTATAAGTGACGATAGTGACTATGGTGACTATAGATGACTACATTTATCGATAGATAGAAGATAAACTAAAAATTTAAAAAAATGAAAAACATGTAATTTGAATTATTAAAAAAATAAAAAAAAAAACATGTTTTTTTTTTAATTTTCAATATTATGTACAGAAGTTTTTTTTTTATAATGGTGTATAAAATGCTAAAATGAAGAAAAAAAAAAGACAATTGGGTGTTCTGTAAAAACAAAATTAGAAAACGTTAGATGGAAAAATGAAAATATTAACTATAGAATAAAAAAATGATAAATATAGTTTAATTACTCAATGCAGATTTAAAATTTGTGAGTGGAGGGATTGTGAATGAAATTTATGAAGGATATGAAAAAAAAAAAAGTTTAGTTGAGCTTGTCATTCACTAATAAGTTTTGGGGCAGTTTACAATTAAGTCCATCAATGGGTACTTATTCATAAAGGGTTCCAAACAAAATTAAAAATTCTTTTACAAAAAAGTCCACACATGGTCCAGAAGTTTGTAAAAGACTAAAATAGCACATCACATTTTAATATGCTCCAATTTCATCCTTTAATTTACTTTAACCTCAATTTAACCACAAATTTCACAAATTATTCAATTTTGACCCAAAACACAATTTTATGGACAATTTCGTCCATCACCCCGTTGACCGCCGGTTTGCGACGCTGACCTTTTTTTCCCGATTTTTCCGATCGGTCTCCGGCGTTGACTTTTTTCGATTTTTGTTTTCTTCCTGATTTTTCCGTCGGTTTCCGGCGGTCAACAACGGTCTCCGGCGTTGAGTTTTTCGATTTTTTTCTTTTTTGATTTTTTTTCTTTAACATCTTCCCCCATCCCCCCCGCCGTTTAAACATCAATATTGCTGTGGTTGACAGTAATATTAACTATATTACTGTTAAACACAGTAAAATTAACTATACTACAGTTTGACATAGTAATATTGCTATATTAAGCTCTAGTACAGTAATATTAACACAACAAAATCACTATTATTGTGTAATAGAGTAATATTAATATGTTGACCGTTCAACAAAGGTAAAAATAATAAAAATCCAAAAGAATTAATATTACTGTGGTTGACAGTAATATTACTGTAACAACAATAATATTACCGACAACCACAACAATATTGATGTGGTTGACAGTAATATTAACTATACTGTTGTGGTTTAAACAACAATATTGCTGTGGTTGACAGTAATATTAACTATATTACTGTTAAACACAATAAAATTAACTATACTACAGTTTGACATAGTAATATTGCTATATTAAGCTCTAGCACAGTAATATTAACACAACAAAATCACTATTATTGTGTAATAGAGTAATATTAATATGTTGACCGTTCAACAAAGGTAAACATAATAAAAATCCAAAAGAATTAATATTACTGTGGTTGAGAGTAATATTACTGTAACAACAATAATATTACCGACAACCACAGTAATATTATTGTGTTTACAGTAATATTATTACGTTACTCCGTCAATAACTCAAACAAAACAAAAAGTCCAAAACAATATTAATAATGATGTGGTTGACAGTAATATTATTGTGTTTACAGTTATTTTATTGTGAACGACAGTAATATAATTACGTTGACTTGTCAATAAATCAAACAAAATTAAAAAAAAAAAAACTCAAAAAATAATAATATTGTCATGACTCTAATTGTACTGTCAATGACAGTACAATTACATAAATGTACTGTTAACGAGGTTAACAGTACAATTACGTTAATGTACTGTCAACGACAGTATAATTACGTTAATGTACTGTCAGTAACAGTGTAATTACTGTTAATTACAGTACAATTAGGTCAACGTTTAGCGGCGAGAGTAAATAAATGGAACAAAATTTTATGAGAAAAAAAAAATCACTACAAAAAGTCAACGCCAGAATTCGGGGGCGGAAAAAACAGACTAGAAAAAAAAATCGAAAAGTCAACGTCGGAAACCTGCGGCAAAAAAATAAATTTTGAAAAAAAATAAGTTTGAAAGAAAATCAAATTTGGATTTTTGGGGTTAAAATTGATTAAATTGGGGTTATAATTAAGAATTTGGTGTAAAGGGTTGGGGGTAATTTTGTCATATACATAATGTTTTCCTTTATTTATTATAAATATTAAAGGGATGAGCTTATTGGCGAAAGAGATATAGCCCATAGACCTAGAATAATAAAGATGGGCTGGTCAGGGACTTGTGCCCAAAAACCCCTAATTTTGTCACCAATGACCTATATCTTAAGGCCCCTTTTCTTTAAGCCCATAAGTACTAAAAGATTCTCCAAAATTCGTACAAATATTAGTTTCTCTTATAAGCCCATAGAAACATATTTGGATGGAATTACCCTTAACCCTTTCAATACACTTCATTTTAGGGTTGGTTATGGGTCAGGTCGGACAATTATTGATCAATTATTTATCCAACCCGATCACCCGATTTTGCTGAAAATTAAAAACTATTATCGGCCCAACCATTATGGGTCGGATAATGGTTGGCAACCGACGTTATCGGGTAAACAATGGGTGGTTGGTTGAAACTATCGATCATCTATTTATTGATTTTTTTTTAACAACGATAAGATATTTCTAAAAGTTTTTTCAAAAAATATTCAACATTTTGGGAAAACTTATGCTATAAAAATCTTAATTTTAAAATTAAGAGTTTTTTTTTTTTTATTATTAAACTTCTACAATAAGTAAATATATAGTGAAGAATATGAAATAAGAATTATAAAATAGAAATAGTACAAGGAGGTTTATAAGTTGTGTTTTGAGTTTTTGAGTTTTAACTTCTTTATATATTATTTTAACATTAAAAAACTAAGAATTACAATTAATTTTATATTATTAAAAAATTATTAAAAAAGTAGGTTGGCCGATATTACCCGGACAACCAAATTTTGAGTAAATTGAAAACTATCGACCGACTCATTTATATATAGGTCGGTTAAAATTACCAGCCCGACAATAAAATTATCGTCCAAAAATATTACCGGTCGAAAGTGGGTCGGTTGGCCGATAAAACCAGCTCATGCTCAACCCTACTTCATTTTACATTCAATTCATAATTCAGACTCTAATTCTACCACATTTTTATCAATTCCGTTGAACATTGACCTGACATTTTTCTGTTGTTGGCCACCGTTTTATGCCAAAAATATATTTTATTATTTTTTTTTCTTTTTTTGATCAAAATGTAAATATTATAAATAAAAAAAGTCGTAGACAATTACAACGGGCATACCCGAGAAAATTGTAGAACATACTAAAGAATGCAATAAAGGAAAAAGAAAATATACTAAAACATACTAAATCATGGGGTAACCCCAAACCCTAGTCACTAGTTCTTCGACTCTTCCATCATAGGTGCATATAAGGCTGCCCGGTTGTCCGTCCGTCCTCGAAACAGAAAGCTTCTGGTGTTGGCCAAACATTGCAGAATAAACGTGTGTTTGGATCTTCTTCGTTAGATCTTTCGGAATAGTTTCGATTTTTCTCAAATTTACACTTGTTTCGAGCCTCCCAAATGTGATAGACGATGCTAGCCAGTGCACATCGTTTCGTCTTGCTACGCTACGACTTTCCCCGTACTTCCTTCTTGAGCCACTTGAGTGATGCATCCAATGTTGCCGGTCGCCGGCTGATCCCCAACCACACCCGAATGTTGTCCCACACCTCTCTCGACATGCTGCATCTAGAGAAAAGGTATTTCCTGTTTTCGTTAACCACACCACACAAGACACCTTTAGTGTGTGCAATTGGAGAACTCCTTCGTTTCACCTGGTCCATTGTAGCCATGCGACCCGGTGCTGCCATCCATAAAATAAACGAGTGCTTTGGAGTCATCGATGAATTCCAAAGTAGTTTACCCCATGGTTTGATCGGGGCCTTGACCCTGATCCAATCGTAAACCTTTCTTACGTTCAGTTTGCCAAGCTCCTTACACGATTCCAGCTTGGCAATAAGTTATTGAGTAGTCCCCGCTCTCCCCACCAGTTTGTCCCTGATCTGGATGATGCTCTTGAAGAAGGGTGAAGCTGTAATTGGCAGTGACCACTCCCATACGGATCGACCCTTGAGATAGAATTCATTAACCCACTGTATCCAAAGGGAGTCTTTCTTCAAGTGGAAATCCTATAGATTTCCCACGAGAAGACTTCGGTTTCAGTCATGCAAATCGAGAAGGCCTAGTCCCCATTATTCTTTCGGTATACATATTTTGTGCCATGCTACTTTCGGTGTTACCTCACCCCATAAAGACGTCTTGCAAAGTTGCTCAATATACTCTATAATCGAGTGAAGGATCGAGAATATTGACAACTAGTAGCAACACGCACCTTGAACCACTGTTTTCAAAATTTCCAAGCGGCCGGCGTAGGAGAGTGTTTGGCAAGTCCACGCCCCTATTGCTTGTTCAGTTTTTCCCAACAATGGTTGATAATGGAGCACCTGGAGTCTGGAGGCAGCGAGTGGAATACCAAGGTATCGAAACGGAAAGACACATGTGGTAAAGTGAAATTTATTTTCGATGGTTGCTCGATCACCCGGCTTGACTCCCGCAAGAAATATGTTCGACTTCGTGTGATTGTCCTTGAGCCCCGATGCCTGCCTAAATTTGAAGACCGTCTTGGCGAGGATGCGGACCGATTCCGCATCTCCTCGTGATAGAACTATTAAATCATCGGCAGAATGTGAGTGATCTTGTGCAGATGGCACATCAGAAGATAATTTAACTCTTGTTCCACCGGACGTATATGCAGTAATCGGTAGAGGTACTCCATGCATATGACGAATAAGTATGGTAATAGGGGATCCCCTTGCCTCAATGCTCGCATGGCTGGGAAGAAACCCTTCGTCTCACCATTTACCGAAATAGTGTATGACACTGGAGTTACGCATTGCATAATTCATCCCGTGAATTCAATTGGTAAACCCAAGGCCTCCAGCATAGCTTGAAGAAATTCTCAATTTATCGAGTTATATGCTTTGCGTAAGTCCATCTTCAACAGACACCTAGACGAAATCCTTTTCCTCTCATAGTACCGCATAAGGTGTTCTACCAAGTGTATGTTGTCCGTGATTAGTCTCCCCCACGAACGTTGATTGAGCTTTGTCAATAAGCCTTGGCAGAACGGATGCTAGACGGTTGGTTAAAACTTTCGTGATAACCTTGTAAATCACATTACATCAGACGATGGGTCGAAAGTCCCCTACTTCTTCAGCTTGTGTTGACTTTGGAATATAGACCAACACCGTATTAAACCATTGTTTGAGAAAGGAGCCACTCCTAAAAAAATCTTGAACCGCTTGCGTCAAGGGTGGCCCAACCGTTTCCCATGCTTATCTGAAAATGTGGGCAGTGAAGCCGTCAGGCCCGGTACTTTGTCATGCGAAATATAAAATAATACCTCCTTAATTCCGAACTAAGGATCGGCCCAGCCAGTGCATCCCTGTCCTCCACTTGAATCTGCGGGCCTGAATTCAATACTTCCAAATCAATGGCCTCACATGTTTCTCGTGTTCCTAAGAACTCCATGTAGAATTTTAGGATTTTGCATGGACCTCCTCACGAGACGTGGTCATCGCCCCATCCGCCCGTCGAATTGATACCACGTTATTCCGTTTTGCATTCCTTTTGACCATGCCATGGAAGAAAGTGGTAGGTCGATCACTATTCTTCATGTAGTGTAGCTTCGCCTTTTGATAGTAGAAACTTCTTTCCGCCTTTATCAAGAACTTAGCCCTAGCCACTCGGTTTAAGATTTCCCCTTGCAAGCTAGCGTTATGCTGGTCATCGTGTAGCTGCCCTTTGGTTTCCTCTAGCTCCAAAGATGCACGTTTCGCCCGTTCTGATATGTGACTAAACTCCTTTCGGTTAGGCTCTTGAGAGGAAATTTTAGGGCATTAAGATTTTCGATTACCGCCCATTGACGACTCCCCCGGCGATCAGCTGTCCAAACTTCTTGTACATTGGACTTGAACTCTCCATGCATAGACCACATGTTGAAGAACCGGAAAGGGCGCGAAACTGGCTCTCCATCCACGCCGAACTTCACCAAAATCAAAGAGTGATCCGATGTTTTCCCAAATGGTAAGAAAGTTGTTGAGCTTCCTCCAACGTAAGCAGCCATTCCGGATCACTATAGCTCGGTCTAGCTTACTCCATACAGTATGGTTTGACCAAGTATAGAAAAATCCAGTAGAGCTTAAGTTATCCAGTCCGTTGCAATGACAACACTCTTGAATATCGTTTACCATATAAGGGGTAACCACATTGCCTCCCGATTTTTCAACCGGTCTCTGCGCCGTATTAAAATCCCCCAAACATAACCACGGCAGAGAAGTCCCTCGCCCAAAAGCCGATAATGATGACCACAACGGCCTGCGAGAAATTATCGAAAACAATCCATATACGAAACTAACCTGAATCTGCCGATGTACTTTGTAATGAATATCTTGGTCTGTCATTTCCGCCGTTTCCACTTGTACCACGGCCGAATTCCACATGATAAGTATTATGCCCGCCCTATGAAGCTAGAAGTTATTAACCTGCTCCCAATGTCGGAATTTCTGGGCCATCATCCCATCCAAAACTCCCGGGTCCCAAACCTTTGTCTCTAATAATCCACAAACATTCACCTTATGCCTCCTTATGAGGTCCATACCTCATTCTGCATGAGGGAACTATTCAATCCCCCCACGTTCCAGCATGCAATATTCAGTTAACGATAGGAGGAACAAAGCCCCTCCGCGGCAACGGTTTAGTTTGTTCATGAAGTGCACTTGGAGTCTTCATCACGTCCGCTTTAGTTGGAAAGACGTCATCCTTCCCTTTTGGCATAAGAATTGTCGAAGTCGGGAGATCTTTCTTCTTGATGGTAACAAAAGCGTTATCGGCCGGAGTCAGAGCCATATGAGATTTCAAGTCCCGGTATTTCTCCAAATCTTCCCCTTCTCTCCCAGGTGCCTCATAACAATCTGTAGATGGATCATCATCGGCTATTTCTTCTACCCCATCTTCTATATCCGGTGCATCTTTAACACTCGAATTATCCCGTCCATCGGATAATTGCAGCCAATGCCTCCTTCAGAGGCTCGGGGGGGTCGCGGCCGTAGCTTCCTCCAGTGGCACAGGGGCTGCTTCCTTTTTCAGACATGTGAAAAGATCTTGCATTTAGTGCAATAGGCTGGTACGTAGCTATAGTCGATTGGGACCACATATATTTGGTTCAGAGAGTTAATCAACGTAAATGATTGTCGTAGAGGTTTCCTAGCATTCACCTCCACCTGAATCGTAAACAACTTCATCCCAATTCCTTTGTGATCTTGTCCATTTGGACCGGTCTGCCAATCTTCTAAGCAATCATACTAAATGACTTTTGGTTGTACAACTCCACCGAGATATTACAGAGCATAATTCAAACTGAAACGTACACCATCTCCCGAATATCAAAGTTGAAGAATTTAGGCATCGTGTGAACGTACACAGTGGAATGTACCGAAATTATACTTCCCTGCCTCCATTATCGTCGCCCTATCGTAGTCCGTTTCGAATTTGAACAAAATCCATCCGGTCGGGTGGATTTGATATTTCGACGGGACCCCTCATCGTGAAATAATTGCCCATGTACAACAATATATATATATATATATATATATATATATATATATATATATATATATATATATATATATATATATATATATATATATATATATATATATATATATACGATAGATATAATATTTTCATAATTTGTTTAATTAAAAAATAAAATAAAATTTGCATGCAAGTGAAAGAAGGCAAAAGTAGTAATGAGAAAAGAAATATAGAGCATGAAATAATTATATCACGTATTATCTGCATATCCTCACATATTTTACTCAATAATAAGCCTTCAACGAACAAAGCACACGTGTATTTAGTATTTACTACACTAAACAAGAGAAAATCACAATATATACTATCGCACCATCAAATTATAAAAGTCAAAACACTCTTTTTTTACATGTATATATATTTTTTTATTAATTAAGGAAAAAATAAAATAAAATAAAATAAAAAAATGGTTAACCAATCAGAAACAAGATCATCACATATAGTAGTGATCATCTTCACCTTCACAGTGTTGATTGTCCATGCTTACTGTTGGCGCCCTTTTTATGCCCCTCTCCCTTTCATTTTACTTCACGGTATTTAACCCTCTTTTTCTCAATTCAATTTTTTTGTATTTATTTATTTAATTAAATATTTTTTAGTAGTATCCTAATTAATTAAATCTGTGAATTTATTTTCAATAAATATAGGGATAAATTGTATATTTATATATTTAATTATTTAATTAAATATGTTTTAGTAGTCCTAATTGATTAAATCTGTGAATTGATTTTCAATAAATATAGGGGTTAATAATCAGTGCTCCAGTTCCCAGAGCACCCTGTACGTTAAGCAGCTAAGCGAATGGTCCAACACCACAGGATACTGCTTGTATGTCAATATTATTTCTTACATTTTTCAATTAATTTACTTATTTATTTTATTTTAATATCGAATTAATAAATGTAATATGGAAATATAAAAATGAATAGCCTAATATGAATTTTTCATTTGCAGAGAGATAGGAAATGGGGTCCAGAGTTCATGGCTTATTCCCCTTGAGAAACAGGTATGTTTTTTTTTTCAAATTACGGCCACCCCTAAGGTATGATCAAATTACGAAACCACCCCTCGTGTTTGGATATTTACAGATACCTATCAACAATGTGTATTGTATTACACGTCCATCCTTACGATGTCAAATTCACCTACTGAAGAAGTTTTTTCGTAATTAGAGGGGTAGTTGTACTTATCCAAACATGATAGGTGTTTTCGTAATTTGAGTTTACTTCATGGGTGGTCGTAAATCGTAATTTGTCCTTTCTAACATTTTAAAATTATAACATGGAATTAAATCATTAATTACTATTAGATGGTGAATTTGAAGTTTTTTCTTCTTCCTTTTTCTTCCCCTTTTTTATTTTATTTTTTCTCTTGAACAGGTCGAAGAAGCTTGCAAAAAAGTGAGGAAAACTCTTGTCCTTTTTTTTTGTTTTTTTTTTTTTAAACTAAAAAAAAAACATTACAAAAAAGAAACAAATAAAAAAAATAAATTGGTTGAATTTATGATGATGCTGATTTAAGTGTACAGGTGAAGGCAATGAAGGAACTATCGAAGGGATACAACATTGTTGGTCTTTCCCAGGTATATAATAATCCATAATTAACTCTATTTATTATCACATTTTCCCTAATTAATCCTCATCTTGTTCTTAATTATAGTGTCACGTTTATTTGATTTATAATAATGTAAACTATTTATTCCATGCAACTTTATTTATTCTTTTATCCTCATTAATGAAATTGATAAAATAATAGAAATGATATTAAAGAGGTGTGTCACATTAAATTTAATTTTGAGATCATCTTCTATAGTTAATTTTATTTTCATTAATCTTATCTTAAAATCAAATGAGACCTAATTGTATAACACATTTACTGATTTTATGTTTTTTTTTTTTATCTCATTTCGAACTTTTCTTAAGGTAGTAATAAGTTATAATGTTGTCTTATTCGTCCTTATTACATCTTTTAATATACTTTCAGGGGACTCTGATTGGTCGAGGAATCATAGAGTTTTGTGAAGAAGCACCACCGGTAATAATATAATAATTAATTTGAGGAAAATTAAAATAATTATTGTTCTATATAGATTTGTAATTAATTAATTTGTTGAAATTATATCAGGTGAACAATTTTATATCTATAGGAGGACCACAAGCTGGCATTGCTTCAGTACCTCATTCCAGTGTTGTAAGTGCTTCTATTATTTATTTTTCGGCAAATTTTGGCCACCTCTTAGGTAAGATAAAATTACAAAAGAAAATTCTTAATTTGAATAATTACAACCACTCTTTCAACTATGTATTGTTTTACACGTCAACTTTTATGGTGTCAAATTTACCTATTGAATGAGGAGGGCTTTCGTAAAACAATACATAGTTGAGAGATAATTGATATTACCCAAGCCAGAGGGGTTTTATCGTAATTTAATCTTACTTTAGGGGGTAGCCGTTATTTTTACTCTTTACTTTTTAACTTGTTGGGTATTCCGCTAAGCTTATTTAAAATATTTATATTGTAAAAGTAATTTGAAGATTATAACCAATTTCTCTGGGGCAGGATTTTGATTGATAAAATAAGATTAGTAAATGTAAGATTAAATAATCTAATGAAAACACAGTTATTTTGTCAAACTTCATGACGTCCTACCAAAAAAAATTCTTTAAAATGCAAGATAATACAAAATAAAACATGATAACATAATATTTTCGGATCGACGACCCAACAAGTTATTGGGGATACCAAACATTAAATAAAGTCCAATTATGATAAGAAAAATATATATTAGGACAATTTATATTAGCTTATGATATATAATGACAATAGTAGATTAGTAATCGTAATTTTTATCATAATACCTTAAAAAGTTTAAGAATTAGCTTTGCTATATTCCTAAAATTTTATTGGTATTTTTCATAAATGACTAAATAAATTATATCACTTCCTATAAAAGAAAATATCAAGCATTTAAAAAAATGAAGTACTTAGGTGGTGTTTGCAAATTAGAAAGGGCCATCACGGGCGC